ACAAAAAAAAAAGTTAGTGTTCATTTTCTTAGAGAGAAAATTAAATCCAGATTATCAAAACAAATTAAAAGATATTCATAATGCATAATTCAAATATAGAAAGCTCAAACCTGAGTCTCAGAAAATTTCCTATCCAACTGCCTCTGAAGCACTCAAAAATACTTTTTAGGGAGATGTAGAAACTACCTTGATTTGAATTTTCTTCTTGACAGTCTTTTTTTTAAGCCTTTTAGGTAAAACCATTGTGATGATTCAATGTTTTGACAAACAGCTTCACCTTCACCACCACCTAAATATGCAAGACAGTTTACTACTCTGTGTCATCCCATAATTTGATCCCTGTGCCCCCTCCATGGCTTGATAATGTACATCCTGCATTCAAAAGTCAAGTATGTGTCCTCAGTAGATATTGTATAATACTGATTGTTCCTTTTAGAGGTTAAGACTCTTAAATACAGCAGGAAAATTTTACAGTTGTACTTACACTGTTCATGAACAGTGCCCATAAGGTTTTTCCCTCTTGGACTAAACATACACTATATAATTAGTGGGCCTGGAGTTCAGTATGGAAAGCAACAGCTGCTGTTGAGATATAGTGATGAACATTCTTTATAAATAAAAAGCAACAAGGACTGAAATACATGTACTGTGGAAAATCTTAAGGCTTTAAAACATATAACTCAAAATGAAAGACAAGTAGTTTAATATCCAAATTCTAAGAGACAATGAGATATTTCAAGGGGAAACAAAGTTATAAAAGATATTCCCTGCTTTTTATTTTTGCAGTGCCTAAGATTGAACCAACTACACTGAACCACATTACTGGCCCCCAAAGTTGTAAAAGAAAAGCCTTGGAACAGGCACAAAAATAGAAAGTAGACCAAGAACAAAAACTAAAATATATAAATTCACATATATAAATTCATCTTATTCATCTGTTATTTCTATTCATTCTTATTCATGTTATTTCCAAGAGAAAAGTTAGAATTTAATGTTTTCAAAATAAAACAACCTACAAAAAGTCAAGGATTTGTCTACATTGTCCATCAACAGCAATAACACTAGGATTCAGTGATTTTTTTTTAATAAAGAATTACAAAAAAGAATACTATCAATAATAGCTTAATGTTGGCATGTTAAAGATGCTGTGCTTCAGTGCAAATGGGGAAATCTACATATGCAATACTAAAGGACTATTTTAACCCCATTCCAAAACGTTCAAAATGTTCTTGATCTTTATTTTATTTTGGGTTTTTTTTTTTTGGTCACATCCAGCAATGCTGAGGCTACTCCCAGCTCTGCAGTTAGGAATTACCCCTGGTGGTGCTTGGGGGACCATATGGGATGCCAGGGATCAAACCCAGGTCAGTCGCATGCTAGGAAAATGCCCTCCTCGATGGACTATCACTTCGGTCCCTATTCATGATCTTTTAGATAAGAATTTTAGGGAGCACCAAATAAAGGGTGTTTGGAGGATCCTCCCAGGAGGGGAGATACATGTTGAAAGTAGACTATGGACTGAATATGATTGCCACTCAATGCCTCTCTTGCAGACCACAACACCCAAAAGGAGAGAGAGAACAAAAGGGAATGCCCTGCCACAGAGGCAGGGCGGGATGGGGGGATGGGTGTGGGAGGGATAATGGGATCCATGGTGGTGGAAAATGGGCACTGGTGGAGGGATGGGTACTTGATCATTGAATAATCGAAACCCAAGCACAAAACTTTGTAAATCTACAACTGTACCTCATGGTGTTCCACTAATAAAAAGAAAAAGAATTTTGCTCAAAATATTAGCAAACCAACACCTCTGTTCTAGACACAGTGAGTCCTGTCTCTGGGGCCCAGTTCTGAGCCAACTTCACCGGGGCACTTCAGATGGAGCAGGTGCGCTCCCCCCACCTGCTCCAGATGAAGCTCCAGCAACCCGGGAGCTTCCACAAGCAAGGCCCAGGTATGAGGGTTCCAGAACTGACTCCAGGCCACAAGGTGGTGACAGAGGAGTCAGGCAGTCCCTCTCCAGAACCCTGCCTGCTTGGGATCCTGGCTGTCACACCCACAATCTGCTTCTGGGCACTATTTCAGCTCACCAATGATACTGGTCCAGGGATTCCCAATTGAATCCCAAAATGTAGCACCCTACAGAGATGTCTCTGGACCCCAACCGTTTACAATCTTAGAATTCCAGAAGCACAACCTCTCATGATATTCACAATAAACAATTTCATTTCATTTCATTTCATCATCCTGTTATTCGTCGATTGCCTCGAGCAGGCCCCAATAACGTCTCTTTCATCCTAACCCTGAGATTATATTCAAGGCTCTTTAGGAGAATGAGACCCATCATTGTTACTGGTATTTGGCATATTTGGTACGCCACGGGGAGTTTGCCAGACTCTGCCCTGCGGGCAGGCTACATTCGATAGCCTGCAAGTTTGTCCAAAGTAGGAATGAGATAATAAGATGTCATAAAAAGATGTTCTGATAAGATGTCGTGCGGCCGCAAATACGGCCGCGTGGTTCCGGGAGATGGATTTTATAGTCTGAGTCTTGGCCGTTAATGGGATTACACGGCGCCAGGGGGCCAGGTGGTGGGTGTGACCCCACCTACTGGAATTTGGAGGATCTGGGTGGAGGATTCTCGACTCCAATCCGAGTAGGCTGGGAGATCTCGCCCCTGGAACCCGCGTGGATTTGTCCCTCTGCCAGTACCTTCATGTGTGCGGAGAGTGGTCTCAGCATGGTGGTGGCTGGTCCTGGAGGTCTTCGGCTGCCAGAGCCCTGGTCGGGGCGGGGAGGAAAGCTCAACCCACTCCCCTCCAACGGGCCCCAGCGAGGAACAGCCAGGCGCGGGGGCAGAAGACAATAAACAATAGAAAATATATTATCTAGCATCTGCCCTTGGCAGGCAGCTAGAATGGTGGTGGAAAAATTCGAGCAAACTATAATGCCCAAAAGTAGAGAGTATGGGGGAAATTGTCTGCCACAGAGGCAGGGGGAGGGCTGTTATGGGGGTGGGGGGGATTGTGGGGACATTATTGTATCACTATCATCCCATTGTTCATCAATTTGCTTGAGCGGGCGCCAGTAATGTCTCCATTTGTCCCAGCCCTGAGATTTTAGCAGCCTCTCCTTACTCGTCCTTCCCAACAGTGCCGTAATGGAGGCTTTTTCAGGGTCAGGGGAATGAGATCTGTTATTGTTACTGTTTTTGGCATATCGAATATACCATGGTGAGCTTGCCAGGCTCTGCCATGTGGGCAGGATACTCTCGGTAGCTTGCCGAGCTCTCAAAGAGGGACAGAGAATGTATATGAGAATACAAGCAAGTATGTTAAAAGCAAACACATGTGCTGCTTTAGGTATATTAGTGGGCAAGACTATAAGGGGTGAAGACAGCCTATTTCAGGGGCAGGAGATTCTGTATCACTCTCTTCAGGGAGCGGAGCTTTGTTTTATAGTCTCTGGATCTCGGCCATTGATGGGATTACATGGTGCAGGAGGTAGTTTGTGGTTGTGACTGGCAAGCTATTGGAAAATGGGGGATTTGGATGGAGGAGGCACAGTCCTGATTCGAGCAGGCTTGGAGATCTCAGCCCCAGGTCCCGCATACCTGGGTTCCTCTGCTGGCTCCTTCATGCGCGAGACTTGTCTGAGCATGTGGAGAGTGGTCTTGAGCATGGCTGTGGCTAGGTTCTGGAGGTTTTAGTTGCAGGGGTTCTGCTTGGGGCGGAGAGGGAAACTCAACCCGTCCCCCCTCCGAGGGGCCCCGGTGAAGACAGCCTCGCATGGGGGCAGGAGATTCTGTGGGGACATTGGTGGTGGAAAATGTGTAATGGTAGAGGGATGGGTCTTCCATCATCATGTATGGCTGAAGCTCAAACATGAAAGTTTTGTAACTGTATCACGGTGATTCAATTAAAAAAATTTTTTGCTCAAGTCGTGATATATATATATATATATATACATAATACATACATATATAGACCCAGATTCACACACGTTATCTTTATCACTATTGCATTCAACTTTTACTATAGCAAATAAAAGATAAATCACCTGTCTAGCCTTAAATGTCCCCTAACAGAGGACCAACAGACCATTGCACAACTGAAATAAAGGTATTCTGACAAAGGAAGGTGGTACGTGATGCTAATGTGGGAAATATACTTAACGAAAAAAAGCAGATTATAAAAGGGAATGCAGAGCACAATCCTACTCCTGTATAAAATATTTGAAAAATAAAAACGTAATGACCCACTATAAAATTTTCATTAAAAAAATTTTATTTTTGAAAGAGGATGTGATGTTAGTATTAATGTTAAACATCACTTAACCACTGAACAAAAACAATACTCATCACCGTTCATATCATATAAAGTTTTGAACTTTGTATCTGATGCTAGATTACACTTGCTATTTCTGAATATATTTTATTAGCCCCGTTTACCGCCCCTCTCAGAGAGCCGGGCAAGCTACCGAGAGTATCTTGCCCACCTGGCAAAACCTGGCAAGCTCCCTGTAACATATTCGATATGCCAAACACAGTAACGACAAGTCTCACAATGGAGACGTTACTGGGCCCACTCGAGCAAAATTGATGAACAACGGGAGCACAGTGCTACAGTGCTACATCCCCGTTTAAGGAGAAAACTAAGATAATCAAGACTAGAATGAGTAAAAACTGGCACTTTCACTCTAGGTTTTGATAAGTCTTAAATTTATTCAAACAGTAAGTACAAAGAATAATAGGGTCATCACAAGAAACTCAATGAAAATAAATAAGATATCTTCATTTACAAATAATTCTTTTAATGTTCCATTTGAGCTGATTATTCACATTCTGCAATTAGACAAGCTCTCATAGAAACTAAAAATTTCTCATTGCATGTGAATAGGTTTATTATCAGATAACTGGAAGAAAGCTTACCTTAACAAAGGTGCTGCAATATTTAACCCTTTGTTATAGTATGTCATTATGAGGTATCAAATTGACAGAATACACAAAATACAACGAAGTTTTTCTTTTTAAAAGGTAGAAAAGACTGCACCAAAAAGATAACATCTTTGAATTTCAAGTATCCCAATTTACTTCCCACAGCCATAAGTTTTGTTCCAGTTTTCAAAAAGTTCTAGATCTTTTGGAGACACAGATGGCCGCACAGTTCTAAAAGCATTTTCAAAATCAATATAAGCTATTGGTCGAACTTGATCTGGTGTTATTGTGGCAATGTCAGTAGTCTGTAAGCTCCGAATGGGACCAAGGGAGGCCTCTCTACACAACTGGGTCATATCAGCTCCAGAGAACCCATTAGACTGCTGTACAATGAGCTCAACTTCCTCTTCCTGGAGGCAACACTGCTCCTTGGACATCAAATTAATTACTATCTGTTTCCTGGCTGAAGCTTCTGGGAGGGGAATATAAAGCCTTTTCACCAACCTTCTGCGGGCAGCCTCATCAATTTCTTGTGGCCGATTAGTTGCTCCCACCACTAGAATACGATCTTCAGAAGACGTGGTGGCTCCATCTAACTGAACTAAAAATTCAGTTTTTATCCTTCTAGAAGATTCATGTTCACCATCTCCTCGTTGAGACAACAGGGAATCAATTTCATCAATAAATATCACAGCTGGTTGCTGACACCGTGCAACAGCAAACAATGCACGAACCATTTTCTCTCCCTCACCAACCCATTTAGAAGTCAGAGAGGAAGCAGAGATACTAAAGAATGTTGCCCCAGACTGACTAGCAATGCACTTGCCAATTAGAGTCTTACCAGTTCCAGGAGGACCAAAGAGTAGAATCCCTTTGGGAGGTCCTCGTAAACCAGTAAAAATATCTGGCCTCATCATAGGCCACACAACTATCTCCTTTATTGTAGCTTTGGCAAATTCTACTCCTGCAATATCTTCCCAATTAACTGGCGGTCCATGATCCATAATCTCATTCATAATAAGTTCAATCATCTTTGGTTCTAAGTTCTTCAGACGCTCATCACTTGGCTGCACCAGTTCTACAGATCCTGTGCTGCAAGGCTTGCACTGCATCCCCCCGTTCTGCTCCCCCCCATCTTGCTTAGGTATAGGAGGAACAAACTTCCCAAATATCCCTCGGGATCTACTAGCCCCCAGAGACTTTTTTATTCCACCATATGAAGACCTTATTGTATGCTGGGGTTGGTGTAATTTTTTCTGTTGCTCTATCCATAGTTGCTCTTTTGCAGTTTTAAAAGCAGACAGGTTGCTGTCCTCCCTCTGGCTATTATCTTCTGTTTTACTAAGAACCTTAGGCACTGGGGTAGAAAGGGCATCAATGATACCAGAGCCATAAAAAGCTTTTCTTTTCTGTGAATTTTCACAGTCCAAAGGAAAACAAGACTCACTTGGTAAGTACATATTTAGTCCTACATCGGCTTTTGAAGAGCTCTTATTTTCCTTTTTGATATTTCCAAATAGTGGTGTGGCATGGAGTTTTGCAGTGCGTGGCTCACCAGAAGGTTTTGAAAATGCAAGACAGGTCTTAGTGGCATCAGTCACAATAGGTAGCTGGACATTCTGAGGGCACATAACAGGACTATTATTCTCTGGGAGGCCTGGGATCCTATTTGTATAGTGATCTGAGTTAGATAATGTACCATTCTCCCTAGTACTGCCACAAACACTATGTTGAGGAACATCAAAGACAGCAGTCTCTTTATGAATCACTATGGACGCATCTGCAGATGCCAGGAGAGTATCTCTGCCTCTCTTGCCAGCCTGCATCATTTCCTGCACAGCATTCATTTTGAAGACATTTTGTACTGACAATGCAGATTGCCACTTTTCACTGTCAGTTTGCTGAGATCTTGCTAAACATAAAATGTTTTCTGCATAGTTATTCAAACCAGTTCCAACATTGTCAGAATCAATAATTGCAGAGTACTTTTCTGCGTATTTCTTGAAAAGTGTGGAAGCACAGACCTGGGAGATCTCGGAGTTTGCCCAAGCGTACTGAATGCGCAGTATCTGTGCTCGGTATGCATCAGCATTCTGTCCAGGTGTACACACACCGGATGTAATTGAAAAGTAATTCTTCTGCCATTCACTCAGGTGCACAGATTTAGAGTCGGAGGCCTGCATTTTAGAGGACCTATAATAAACGACAAAAGTGAAAGAATAGATATGAAGAAAACAAAGATGCACTTTAAACATAGCTCTTATAGTTTATTTGGAGGTGCTGGTGAGTAGACACAGAGCCTTATGTACATGAAGCACAGAGTCTACCACTGAGCTTTATCCACGACTAGATGTAATTGTTTGGGGGCCTTGGAGGTGGGAAACAGGTGCCTTCCAAAGCATGCTTAAGAAGTCTGGGGCGCCAACAATGATTTTGAAACTGGCAATTCATTGCAACGATTCAAGTAAGCTGTAGTGCTGGTCTCTGTGATGCCAAATTACCCAGGCCATCCTAGCCGTGCTAAGATGTCCAGGTTCACACCCTGAAATGCATGAAAGACTCAAGGGCTGCACCAAGTGAACCTAGGGGACCATGTTGTTTCAGGGATAAAACTATAGTTGGCCACATATAAGCCATGTGCTCTAAATATATGCTTGTCCAAAAGTACTTTTATGATGTGAACTTGTAGGAATATAATATTTACATGGGAACTATCTAGTTACACACAGACTTTCATGACCGAAGATATGATTTAAGCTAACTTAATAATCTTGGCTATTAAGTTATTTGGTATAGGCTAAACTACCATTATCCCTACAAAAATTTTATCTGCGAACAAGGAAAACATTCATAAAGTTTAAATGGAAAAGTAAAAGTAAAGTAGCACAGCGGGTAGGACGTACACCTTACAAGCGGCCAACATGGCCAACCCGAGTTCGATTCCTCCGCCCCTCTTAGAGAGCCCGGCAAGCTACCGAGAGTATTCGATATGCCAGACACAGTAACAAATGGAAAAGTAATAAAAAAAATACAGAACAGAATTAGAGACAAATAAAACCAACCAACCAGGGAGTTAAATCTGGTCTAAGAAATATTAGATGATTTTTCAAAAAAAATTTTTTAGTGAAGCAAAATAGTTTTTCCTGAAAGAAATTCAGGAAATTGTTAGGGGAGACAATGAGAAAGAGGTATTATATCCAAGAGAGAACATGGGCTGTAGAAAAAGCCTAGATGAAAGATCTTAAGCAAAAATTTTAGTATCAGCGAGCCTTGAGTTTTCTATTCTGCAGTGAGAGAAAACCACTTCTATGAATGAAGTCAAATAATAAATTAAAAATACTTTAAAAACCAGTGCACAAATATGAAAAATAGGCAGAAAGAATTAAGAAATTTACTTGGGATCATAAAGTTCACTTGGCGATAGAGCCAGAAATCATAACACAATTTCAGTTCTTGCTATACACTTCAGTGTATGAAATAACCCTACTACAAATGCTAGAGTAGCATGGAGGATTATTATAAACAACTATCAAATAAACATGTTTCTAAGAACTTATTTGTGAATGAGCATTCAATAGAGGATGCTCAAGAGTCTCTCAAAAGTTCCTAATTTCACATGAAGCATTGAAATTGGAATTGTTATAAAATAAGAAATATATGAACAAGTGTGCTAGCAAAGAAGTTCTTGTTTTATTTTACATTTCTCCTCTCAAGTTATTGTTATGGCCTCCTTGGTCTAAATCAAAATTATTTTAACATAATTACAGATTAATATATCATATTGCTTTGCTAGATATTTAGAACTTCTCTCAGTTCTTAAAAAAATTTAAACTTTTATTTTCATTGAATCAGTAAGATATAGTTACAAAGTTGTTAACGATACTGCGTTTCAATCATATAATGTTCCAACACCTATCCCTTCACTAGTGGTACATTTCCTACAACCAATGTCCAGTTTTCCTCCTGCCCACTGCCCTTTTCTTCTCTGTCACCTCTTGATAAATGAACTAAAGTTCAACAAGGAAATACTTTTTTTGAGGGAAGAAATGGAAGAGAGGGAGATAACAGATATAAGTATGGCTTCTCATCCACCCAAAAGCTGAATATATATTCTTCTCCAGTGCACATGGGATATTCTACAAGATAGACTACATGCTGGACAACAAAACATACCTCCATAAAAAAATCAAGAGGATAGAAAGTGTATCTTTTCAGATTATGATGCAATGAAAAAAGAAGTCAATCAGACACAGAAATGGAGAATCAAATCAAACACTTGTAAATTAAACATCTCACTATTGAACAACCAGTGGTTTAGAGAGGAAATCAAAACATTCCTGAAAACAAATGAGAATGATGAAGACATGAGCTACCAGAACTTGTGCAATATAGCAAAAACAGTGTTAAGAAGAAAGAAGAAGAAAGGTCCCACACAAATAAATTAACTTCACAACCTAAGAACTTGGAAAATGACAATCAAAAGAAGCCCAAACCAGGCAGGAAGAAGGAAATAATAAAACTTTGAGCAGAAATCAGCGAGCTCGAAGCAAAAAAAAAAAAAAAAAAAAATCCAAAAGATCAATGAAACCGGGAGGTGGTTCTTTAGGAGAGAGAGAGACAGACAGACAGACAGAGAGACAGAGAGAGACAGAGACAGAGAGAGAGAGAGACAGAGAGACAGAGATAGGGACAGAGACACAGAGAGAGACAAAGACAGAACCCTAATAAACCAAATCAGAAATGAAAAGGCGGACATCACAACAGAAACCACAAAAATTCAAAAGATCATCAGATTACTTTGAGAAGCTGTATGCCATAAAAACAAGAGAACCTTGAAGAAATGGATAAATTCCTGGATTCCTTATAAACTCTCAGGACTGAACCAAGATTTGGAATACCTGAACAGACTTACCACTATCAAGGAAACTGAAATGGTAATCAAAAGTCTTCCCCAAAACAAAAGCCCAGACAGGGAGGATTCACTTGTAAATTCTTCGAAACCTTTAGAGAAGACCTATCTTTGATCCTTTTCAAGCTTTTCCAGGAATTGAAACAGAAACACTCCCAAACAGTTTCTATGAGGCAAGTATCACCATGACACCAAAAGTAGACTTAGACTTAGAATTTTAAGGATAGCCCTAATGAACACTTGCAAGGAGCCTCAAAAAAATACTCTAGCGGGCCCAGTAACATCTCCATTGGAGACTTTGTTGTTACTGTGTTTGGCATATCGAATACTCTCGGTAGCTTGCCGGGCTCTCCAAGAGGGGCGGAGGAATCGAACTCGGGTCAGCCATGTTGGCCGCTTGTAAGGCAAACACCCTACCGCTGTGCTACTAGCAAATAGAATCTGACTCACCAAAAAGATCATACACCATGACTAAGTAGGATTCGACCCCCCCCATTCAAGAATAGTTTAACATGTGCAAGTTAATCAACATATCAATAAAAGATAAAAACTGTATGATCATATCAATAGACACAGAGAAAGCATTTATTACAAGATCAAGCACTCACTCACCATAAAAACTCTCAACAAAATGAAGTTGATGTAACTTTCCTCAATATAGTCAAAGTCATCTACCACAAGTATAATTCTCCATTGGGAAATACTGAGAGCCTTCCCTCTAAGATCAGGAACAAGGATGCCTACTCTCACCACTTCTATTCAATAAGTACTTGCCATAATAGTCAGGGAAGAAAAAGATATCAAGGGCATCCAGGTAGGTAAAGAACTCAAGCAATCACTATTTGTAGATGACATGGCTGGAGCGATAGCACAGCAGGTAAGGCGTATGCCTTGCAAGCGGCCAATATGGCCGACCGAGTTTGATTCCTCCGCCCCTCTCGGAGAGCCCGGCAAGCTACCGAGAGTATCTCGTCCGCATGGCAAAGCCTGGCAAGCTCCCCGTGACGTATTCAATATGCCAAACACAGTAACAAGTCTCACGATGGAGATGTTACTGGGCCCGCTCGAGCAAATCGATGAATAACGGGAGGACCGTGACCATGATGACACTATACTTAGAAAACCTTAAAGACTATTTTTTAAAAAGCTACTAGAAATAATAGGTTTGTAAAAAGGAAGTTTACAAAATCAATACCCCAAAGTTCTCAGCTTTCCTCTATACAAGTAATAAATAATTCCATTCACAACTGTGCCTCAGAAAATCAAGTGCCTCGAAATCAGCTTAACTAAAGAGTACATAAACAAAGAAAACTAGAAAACACTACTTCAAAAAATAAAGGAGGACACCAGGCAATAGAGACACATCCACTGGTCATGGATCAGGAGGATTAACATGGCCAAAATGGCAATACTCCCCAAAGCATTATACAGATTCAATGTGATCCCTATAAGGATACCATTGAACATTCTTCAAAGAAATATACAAAACACTCCTGAAAATTCATATGGAACAATAAACTCCCACAGATAGCTAAAGCAATCCTTGGGGAAAAGATGGGTGGCATCACCTTCTCCAACTTCAAGCTGTACTACAAAGCAATAGTAATTAAAACAGCATGGTACTGGAATAGAAACAGAGCTGCAGACCAATGGAACAAAGTTGAATATTCTGTGGCAGACTCTCAAACATATGATCACTTATCTTTGATAAAGGAGCAAGAAATGTGAAGTGGAGCAGGGAAAGCCTCTTCAACAAATGATGCTGGGAAAACTGTACAGCTACTTGCAAAAAAATGACCTCGGACCTCTCTCTAATATCGGGCACAAAAATCAGATCAAAATGGATTAAAGACCTCAATATCAGACCTGAATCCATAAGGTACATGGAGGAAAATGTAGGAAGGACCTGCCCTCCTATGACATGGGAAGCTGAAGGCATCTTAGAGATGAAACACTGCTAACCAAGCAATTGGAAGCGAAGATATACAAATGAGACTACATTAAGCTAAGAAGCTTCTGCACCTCAAAAGAAATGATAATCATAATAGAGACATTTCACAGAATGAAAAAAATTATTTACCCAATACCCATCAGAGAAGGGATATGTATCCAACATACATAAGACACTGGTAGAACTTCACAAGAAAAAGAAAATCCAACCCCCTCAAAAAATGGGGAGAAGAAATGAACAGAAACTTCCTCAAAGAAGAAATACAAAGGACAAAAGGGTAAGCAAATCAAAACAACAATGAGATATCATCTCACACCACAGAGACTGGG